TTGGGAATTGGTGGCTGATGTGGCAGCCAAAGGAGTGTTGATCTCTTGCTAAGATTTTGGGTGAGACAGATGCCATGTAAAAACCCCATTATTCCCATTACCTGCAGGTTTCTCTATCCCCACTCCTGAGTTGTCAGGAGGAGAGAGGGAACCTTCCCACATGTCCCAGGGCAGCAGCATCCCTGCTCCAAGAGGCACAGACAGGCCTTGAGCACTACAACATTCAGAGCTCCTGATTTATGTATTTGCAGTAATTCAGGTATAGAACAAGATATATGAGCTTCATTCCCTTTGAGCCTACTAGGGAGTTAGAACAGACTAGAATAGAGACTAGACTAGAAATTAGAATAGAATAGATTTTAGTGGAAAAAGAGAACTACAAACATTTGGGTCTGGCCAAGTTAAAGGGTGTTGTTTAGGCCATTGTCCAGCATTGGAAGTTGGAAAAATTGCATGAAAGGACGGGAAAATATTTATACCTATTCTGGACTAGAGGTTTCTGTGGAGCAAAGAGAGGTGGCCTCTGGCCAGACCTAGCCAAGAAGCAAATAAGCTGTGATGGACTGAGGAAACAGGAGAAAGAGATGGCTTGTATCTGTTTGAGATTGTGAGGCTCTGTTTGCTCTCATCTAGATTGCTCATGCAAATCATTTATGCATTGTTATTTTACAGCAAATCTTGCTGAACTCTCGTGGTCTCCATGATGCTCACAAAGTCCACATGACTGTGTAAAACCCTTCCAATGCTGGAAGTACTGCAGGAGCCTGACCCACCTCCAGACTTCCCCTCATGAATGCTGTGGGTAAGTAATGTCTCATGGTGTATGCTGGGTTTGGGGAGAGGAGGGAAGTGAGGAGAATGTCAGCCAAACCTTACATGGCTCTGAATTGAAAGTGTTAATTAACAAACAGTCCATGGCCTGTCTGTCATACACCAGGCAGTCAGACATTAAAAGTCTGAAGTAAATAAATGCATATACCATCCCCAGGTGTCCAGCAAGCATGTGTTTCCCACACCTGCAGTCAGGAGTGACCAGAAAGCAGTTGATGATGACCCTCAATTCTCAGTTAAATGTTGTCAGAGTAGGGAAAAAAAAGACACAATGAAAAGGAAAAACATGAACCTTTTTGTTTTCCTGCATTCCCAGGGCTTTCCTGTTCTTCCTCCCCAGCTGCCAGATAGCAGTGGGGAAGAACAGACTGTCACTTTTTTCCTGAAATGTGACCTTCAGTCAGAAGGGTGGTGTGGCTGAGCTGGTCCTCTCCTTTTTCTCTTGCATACAAAGATGAGAGCACTGAAGGTACTGGATTCAGTAGTAAGCAAATTGTAGAAATTAATGACCTGTGATATTATCAGACTGGCTGATCTGATGGGCTAACTGGCTTGAACTCCCACAGGGTCTTCATTATGGCCTGTCCCAGACCAGTGAGATCAGGTAGCCCAAAGAAAAGCTATAGAAGGGGCAGGTGCTGTGGAAAGGCTGTCCTCCTTCATGGCAGAGCAGGGTTCCACGTCCCTTCCTTTGTCTTGATTTCCTCTAAGCAACTGGTGTGCTTCATAATGCCAAGAAACCAAACCAGTGAAGTTGCTGTGAGATCTAATTTCACCCCTTTTCCAAGAAGTGGTGGGTGACAGGCCAGGATAGGGCTGCTTTGATTTAACTTATAAAGACAGTTGTGTTTTTCTTGAGAGGATGGGAGGAATTGACTCCTGCTGAGAAATGAGAAACTGTAGTTAGATTTAAGGAAAAAATTATTCATGGTGAGAATGATTAAACATTGGAATGATCCCAGAGGGACTGTGGATCCTCCATCCTCAGCAGTAATCGAGAGGATAGGGCCCTGAGTTACTCAGTCTGACATTTATGTTAACTCTGGTTTAAGCAGGATGGACCAGGTGACTTTGCAAGATCACATCCCACCTGAATTATTCTGTGATGCTAAGAGTAAAAATACCGTTATTAGGAGCACAAACCCTCAGAGTCTAGAGTAGCCCAAGCAAGTGTAGATCCTTATAGAACAAAAAATTATATTCCCAGGACATTTTCAAATAGACACAAGGAAACACGAAGGCACATTTCAACAGAAGCCTTTGTCTCTCCAAATAATTGATTTTACAGAGGTCAATACAACACCGGAAAATATGTGCCCATATAGGTCACACCTTATTTTGTTCTGCAGCCAGATGCTCTGACAGTTTTAGCTTGTTCCCTCACACGTTTCTGACCACATATAAATTAAAATACTTAAATTTTAAAGAATAATGAGAATGCAGTGCTGTAGCTTGATTTTTGGTTGCACTTTGCCTCACTGTGGTTTGTGCTGTTGTGTTTTTTTTGCTTACTGTTTGATTCACAACTTCTCTGTGCAACTTGACTCAAGCAGCAGAAGGTTGCAGACTTTGCACTTCCCCAAGCTTCATGTTTCCTTCATCCAAAATGTCAATCTTATCTACAAACTTGCTATCTACTAGACTAACCCATTCACTGGTAAGGAGGAGACAGGGCTCTTCAGCTTGGAGAAGGGCAGAAGAAAGTAGTGCTTAGCACCGAGCTGGTTTGTGTAAGCTGGGGAAATGTCTCCAGACTCAACATCTTTGCACTCCCCTACTTTGAAAGTGCCCTGTGATATCCTCACCTTCTCAGGGACCTGTGCCCTGGGCATATGTGGACAGTGCAAGGCATCTGCTCTCTCATGCAAAATCTAAATGGCTCCCATCAGGCACAAATCAGCAATCTCACCCACAGCTTTTTTTTTCTTTCTTCTTCCCCCCCCCCTTAATCCTTTTTGATTGTTCTGGCTCTAGTCAGGAGCTGCAGATCTCCCACGGGGCTTCCAGGCAAATGCACCCTCTGGAGCCTGGGTTGCTGTGTCCCAGCCGCTCCCTGCCGGCCCGCAGCAGCCACGCAGGGCATGGCACATGGGGCTGGGGCTGCAGCTCGCACAGGGCCACGGGGCCTGGGCCTGCAAACCTGCCCTGGTGAGAGACTTCCCAGCCACCTGCTCCCAGCTGGCAGTGTGCCCCAGCCACGTCCAGGGTGACCTCATGCTCCATCACAGCCGGGGAGTGACTCAGGAGGAGCCCGGCCTGACACTGTCAGGCGGTGTCTGGTTCAGACACCCCCCAGCTGTTGCCCTCCCTCTTCCCCCACCCTGGCGCTGGCTCGTCCCCAGTGGAGGGGGATTTTGAGGCATTGGCTGGAAGCAAAGCCTGTGTCATAAAGGAATGCAGTGTGTGGAGACTGTTTGAGGACTGGGAGAGCTGTGGGAGGAGAGATCCCTTGTGTGTGCAGAGCTGCCATGCATGGAGGCCACAAATTGTCCCCACCTGTCCATAACGAACCTGGAGTCCCAGCACTGTGCAGAGGAGGCCTCAAAGACAGAGGGAGCATGTTTGGCATGGGCTGACAGGCTCCTGAAGAGCCAATTTTAGCAGATGGGGTGCTGTGTGGCTGTTCCCCCATCCAGGAGAAGCGACACAGCCCTGACACAGGGGATCTGCACCAGTTCCTGTCCCCACCACAGGCTCCTGCAGGACTCTGAGCAGTGCATGTGTCCATGATGGCCACGGGTGCATCATCTTGTTTGGGAGGTGACTAGGGAGGCAGTCTGGGAGTCTTCAGGCTCTGTTCCATGTCTCTAGGGCTCCACGATACCTGAGATGCTCCTGTGCCATCCTCTCCAGCATCTCTCCTTGCTTTGGGCACCAGCTGTGCTGGAGGGTCCCTCTGGTGCTGTGGGACCAGCTGGAGCACTCATGTGGTGGGGCAGGATGCTAAGTGAGAGAAATGCAAGTCGTTCCCACTCTTGGTATAACACTGTACACAGAGAAGAGTTAGGGGGGCAGGACGCTGGGGAGGTGATGAGCCTGGGAAGCTGGGCTGCAGGATGAGACAAGGTGCTGTGCCAAGGGCAGCCCAGCTAAGCACAGCACCAAGGAGCCTGTCTTCACCCTGCAGCCCTCAATGCCCTTCCCCTGCTCTCCTCTGGTTAATGCAGTGCTTAGGGACCAAGAAGAGCAGAGAAGAAAGCAAAACTGCAGGATGCCATGTCCCAGGTGTTGGAGGGGGAAGTGCTGAGACTACTGGAGATGTAACCATCACATTTCTGTAGGGTACTTGGAAGGGAGGACCACCAGCAGCATGGTAGGAACAGGGCCGAGGACATGCATCAAGTGCAGCTCTTGCTCTTCCAGCAACTGGACTGGAAGGGTTAAGCCCCAGCCCTGATCCCCACCTCCCACTGTCGTTCTGGGCAGCAGAGCCAGTTGGTGACAAGAGGCTGATGCTGATGAGGGAGCATGTGAAGCTGAAGCTGTGAATGGGGCTTTATCCCAAGAGGGACCTGCCTCTGCTCCTCCCTGCCCTGCTGCCAGCACCAGCTGCAGGCAGGGTCCTGCAGGCAGCACAGCAACGTGTCAGCAGCCTCTGAGCAGGGAACATGGGGCTGGGGAGGCAGGAGAAGTGCCCTTGAGGCAGGCTGAGATCTCCCACCAAGTGCTTGGACATCTCCTGGGAAGATATTCATGGCTGATCTGTGCTCCAACACATGGGGCTTTTGTGAGGGAGGCAAGGGAAGGTCTGCAGGCCAGCCTGGAGCAACCAAGGCCCAGGATCTCGCAGGAGGTTGTTTGGTACAGGGGAGCAGGTTCTCTGTTTAATGATATCTTCTCTTCTTGACTCTTTCAGATTAAAGACACAGGAAAGGAAGGACGCAGCCCTGGTTGTTCCCTCACTGTGCTGCTCTGGGGATGCTGCACCATGTCCTGAAGCCCTGCTGGAGGCGCGTGCCCAGCCCCAGCACACGGACCGTAGCTCTCCAGGTGGCACCACTGCAGAAGTGAGCTCCACGAGGCTCCAAAGAATGAGGCAGCATTGTCCCTGCTTGAGAAATGCAATTGCCTTCACAACTGCTGCTGTCTTGACCCTCTGCTTTGCTATAAAGGTGTAGATTCATCTGTGCAACAACTGCATCGTGCCCCTCCCCACCCAGGCACCCACCATGCCGGAGCTGGCAGAGCTGAGCAGCCCCCGCACCCCTGCCGATGCAGACCACATCCAGAGGAATATCTTGGAGGAGCATGTGGAACTCTGGTGGTTTCAGGACCCCAAGAAGTCCATCCTGTGCTACGGGATGGCTGTGGTGCTGATCCTGGCCTGCGGGATCGGGGGCATCATCCTGCTGTACAGCACGAGCAGCAGGTCTGGGGAGTGGCGGCTGGCTGTGGGCACCACGCTCTGCCTCCTGGCCCTGCTCGTGCTGCTGAAGCAGCTGCTGAGCTCTGCAATCCAGGACATGAACTGCATCCGCAGCCGGGACCAGATTGAGCTCCTGAAGAGTGGGGGCTTCTCAGACTGCCTGGTGCTGCTGCTCAGTGCCCTGGTGCTGCTGGTCTGTGGGGTCGTGCTCACCGTCCTCTCCAGCACGACCATGCAGCTCAGCTCTGCACGGCCACTGGCCAGCATGTTCACCAGTGGGATTGTCCTCCTGAGTGCTGGCAGCGCCCTCCTCCTCTGCCTGCTGCTCTACCTGCTCTGCACCTCCTGCCACCAGGCTGCTCCTCGAAGTCTGGAGACCGGCGAGATCCGTGTCTTCACCATCTCTGGCCGCCTCACTGCAAACAGGCGCCTTCCTCCCACCTCCAGCATGGCCAACCTCATCTGATCCAGGACACCCCTTTGTGAGCCTCACTGGACACAATCTGTCAGCAGGGCTGGCGCCAGCCTTTCCCCAAGGAAGGGTGGGCCTTGCAGTGTGCCTTGTGCTTCTTCCAGAGATGACTGGCGTGTGCTTTGCCCCAGGCTGATGGTGTGGCAGGGCCTTGGGGTGCCTGCACGGGCTCTGTGGCCTGGCATTAGGAGCACGGTGCTGGCCTGCTTGGTGCTTTCACTTCACTAAGCCTCCTGCGACAGCTGCTGCCTGCCTGGCTGTGACCCCGTCACAGAGTTCAGGTGAGCCCATCCTGTACCTCTGTGGACCCCAGTAGTTGCCTGGTTCCTGCAGCTCCCAGGGCCACTTTGTGTGCTCTCCGGGCAAGAGAAGCTGCAGTTGTGGGTGGTGTAAAACCACCCTGTGCTCTGTGCAGAGGCGCCAGCTCAGACCCACGTCTCAGATGGCACCAGCACTTGGTGCCTCTAAGCCCATGAAGACGTGTACACCCTGAGTGTGACACGATGCTTTCTGTACTGTGCATCTCTCCCTCTCAGCCTGCAGGGCCCCTGAGCAAGAGCAGAGCTTTTAGCAGCAGATGAATGGCAGGAAATGTTCTGCATGCCAGCAGGGCAGCACAAGCCAAGGGACCTCAGAGGGAGATGCAAGGTCTGCTCCTGAGAAAGCACCTGTGTGTCTGTGGGAGGGAGCATGGGATTAGTTTGGGATTCTGTGGGTCAGAATCCCCAGTATGGCTGGACCTCACAAGAAATGCCATTTGTATTTGCAATGCCAGGATCTGTTCCAAAAATACATCTTTTATGGGTTATAAAAGGGGCAATCAAAGAGTGTTGGTGTCAAAGTCCTGATAGGTTTTCAGTGCTGGACTGTGTGCCAGGACTCTGTTATCACACCAGTGAGCTCCAGCCACACAAGCCACTAATATCAAGGTGCAGCCACTGGGGGATGGTGGTGGGATGCCCGAATCCTGGAGCTGGGGCTGCTGTGGTGGGTGGGCGCTGTTGCCCTCTGACAGGAATTTCCCAAGCAGAAGCATCTCTGGGGCTGTGGGAGTACTGCAGCTCACCCCAGTCCCTGCCTATTCCCACACTGCTTCTGTTTTCCAAGTGCTGCAGCTACTGCTGGGCAGAAAAGTTCTTCTGCTACTTCTTGGGCCCTACCTGGAGCTGTTTGGGTGTTTTATCCCTATAAGGTGTCTATCACAGAGGTGTCTTTCCCAGAGGCAGATTAACAACTCACCCCAGGGAGCTTCTCCTGTGACTTGAAGCTAATTTACCTGACAAAATTCTCTTTCCTTCATAGACCCATGAACCATTTAACTTCCCTTTCCATGGACACAGATCCTAACATCCTAGAAAAGCTGTTCCTGTGCAGCTTCCTCTTCATCTTCCCTCCCACTCCTGTTTCCCTCTCACTGGAGCTGCTCTGCCCCAGCTGTTATTTTTAGTTATTATTTGCCAAGTTCCCTCTGCAATGGAACAAGATTGAGCTATTATTTTTTGGTGCCTGGTAGCAAATGTATTTGGAAGAGGACAGTAGCTCATCCCCTGAGTAGGAGTATGAATCCCTGTCCGTGTTACACCTGGAGGCACTGTCAGCATCAGGTATACAATGGACAATGAGGACTTCATCCCTCAGCAGTTCCAGACCACACCAACCTAATGCACTCAGATTGCATGAGGGAACTTCTGTTTTCATCTGACCTTGCCCAGCTCCTGCTGGCTTTCCTTGCCCCTGAAGCATTGGATTGTTTTCCCCAAGTACGGGAACACAATTTTGGCTTTTCTTCTCTGGATCTCTGCTATTTCTACATTTTTCTCTGCCACTTTCACATCATCCATAGAATTTATTAAACTGTTGTTTCCTCCTCTCTCTGCATCACTTCCCTTAATTTGCCCAAGAGTTCAGGTTATGTTACTAAGCTCAGGTCCTTCTGTGCTAAATCCTCTGCAAAGCAAAGAGCAGTCATTTCTCTCCAGGCTGTTTGACCCCAAGTCCAGCAGGGACCTCAGTGCATACCCAGGGAGGGACAGGCCAGAGCTGGACAGTTTTGCACCACTACTGTTGCTGCTGCTCTGCACACCTGTGCCAGTGCATGTGTAGTTGTGCCAAGCTGTACCACCTCTGCCTGCATCAGTGCTTTAGCAGTTACTCTCCAGTCCAACAACCTGCAGGTGCACACAGGCTGCAGCTGCCTGCACACCAGCTGTTTTGCACATCTGGGCATTTCTGTGTGACTGTGCCCAGCTGGCAGCTGTGTGCTGCCTGCATGTCACTGTGAATCCTCCTCTCCATAGCCCTTCCAAAATGTGCCCCAAGTGCCCATCAATTGTGCCAGAAAAGGATGCCTGGGGGGGAGTGTCAGCAACTTGAGGAAATAACAGCTACCAACAAGCTGTCCTTGAAGATGGCAGTTTGGTGTCTGGCTGCCCAGATGGCCAGCCTGTGCTGCCCTGTCACTGACTCACCTCTGCAGCAGTGCTGCTGGTTTGCTCCTTTCTTGGTTCCCATGCTGTATGTGGAAATACATAATAAAGCATTACAGAAGTCAACTGTGTTGAAGGCTGATGTGTGAGTCCTGGCTTCTCTGTGGAGCAGAAGGTGGCAAGGCTGTGAAGCTGGCCTCTGCTCAGGCTGAGCTCAGGGCAGAAACCGTGACAGCCCAGGATCCCTCCTGTAGCTGTTGTTTTGGCTCATCAGCTAATGTGGCAATGCTACCACAGCCCCCCATCTGCAGGTGCTTATTTTCTGAAACACAACTCCCACCTCCAGATGCGTGTGCATCTCCTTCTTGAGGACCTAGATGTAGCCAGTCCCCTTTACTGCTGCTCTGTGAACCCAAGATCTTCCCATGCCCCTGAGAGCTGCTCAAGGGACACACAGAGCCTCCTGAGTTATGTCAGTGCCAGCTGGTTTGTTTACAGAGAAGCTGTTTCACCCTGTGGTAGGGCTCGGAACCTGTCCGCCCACATACCTGCTACTGCTCCCATCTGCCAGCAGCAACCTTGGCCCTTTCAGCAGCTTCCTGGTGGGACCCCCTCTTGAGAAAGCTCCTCCTTTTCTGATCGACCCCCTTGTATTCCCAGCTCTGCATGACAGACGCATTCCCGCCATCATCCCCTAGCAGCAGCTGCCAGGCTCCTACCTGCTTGCACTGGAGCTGCCTGGAGAAAGGGGAGAGGGACTGCCATGGGACTGGGGGTCCCTGCACATGTGAAGAACCAGCTGTGTCTGGTTGGTTAAAGAATAAACGGTTGGGCCTCCCAACAGTATCAAAGTAGATAAGTAACCTACTACCAGGTACTGAGGGACAAAACTGAGTAGAGATCCCAGATAAATAAGCCTGGGAAGCAGCTGTATTTTTAATATCTTATAAGACATCTCTGAGACCAAAAGTAAAATAGTGCATCTCACACAAATTCATGGGATTGAAAAGCATATTGAAGAGCCCAGAAAATACCTTCCAGAAGATAAATGGAAAGTTATTTTCCCAGCCCTCAGATTCAAGTCTCCTATCTGACCTGAAAGATGTTAGAAAGTTCCAAAAGTCACAGCAGAGGTTGCATTTTCATGGGTAGCTGTTAAGATGAGCCCAGAAGTCTAAACATGAGGCAGTGACTGCAAAAGCAAAGCTCAGTTTAGAAATACGGCATTTAAGAGTGAAAACTGGCAGACTATAAGCTAGCAGATTTTCTTCCTCCTCCTGGCTCCAAACAGCACATTCCCTCTCTGGAAGGTGCTTTAAATCACTGATCTGTATTGTCCATCCAACACCTAAGCCAGTTGTCTCCTTTATTTATATTCTTTGATGTGTATTGTTTATTTTTGTATATGCTGTGCTAAGTGTCTCAGTAAGTAGAGAAATAAAAACGCATTTTACAGTGAAATGGAGGTTTGAAGATGGGGGAATTAGCCATGTGACAGGGCTGCAAGAAATGCCACGATGATGCTTCATGCTCTGGAGCATGATGGAGACATTCCTGGGCTATCAGGGGCAGTAACAACCAGAAATCTTCCCAGCCGGATGGAGGTATTACCCTTATTAATCACTCCCTAAGGGTGATGCCACTGCTGCTCCCTGCTTTTAACTCCAGCCTGATTCACGTGGACATAACCAGCTACAGCAGAAACAATGTGGAGTTACCTTAGTCTCGTGCTGTTCACTGTACCACGAAGATGACAGGAATGCAAAAATTATACTGTTTGTGTAACTGCAGGGTTCGAGGCACAGACAGGACTCTGTCATGGGTACCAGGGGCCGGGGCTGTCTCAGCCCAGGGCACGTGCCTGCCTGATGCTGCAACCGCTGCTGCCAACAAGTTCGTTCAGCTCTGCAGAGCTATGAGAAACGTAAGTGCCTTTCTGTCACGTCTCGCTGGAGAGGGAAGAGAAAAAACTGGGAAGGAGCAAAGCAGGAAGCAACGCTGGAAAGATGCGCACAGAAACGCTGTGACGCCGCAGCGGGGCTGCCTGCGCCGGATCAGGTAACAGCTTTGTTTGCGCAAGGTCTGTTGTGCCACAGACCTGCTCTGTCACCACCGCAGATAACAAGGAGTGTATTCATGGTCCTTGAACGCACACGCAAAAAAAGCCGCACCCCAGCCGTGGGGCTGGAGGTCTCATCCTGACTCCGCCACTAGGGGAGCCCCAACAAACCATCGCAGGCAAACGCAGGGTTTAATCATGATTTAATCACACCCTGAAGAGACAACACACTGACGGACAGAGCAGGGCTGGGACTGGCTCCACGGGAAAGCGGGGGCAGCGCCCAAGACCCCGGAGGGAGCACCAGGGCAGGTTCCTCTTCCCATCCAACCAGGCAGCCCAGGTGTAACAGGCACCTTCTTCATCCTCAGCAGGGCCAGGAGAGCAGCACCAGGTGCAGTGCCCTGGTGTCAATGCAGCCCTGCTGACATCACACTGGAGCACCATGAGGACGGCTGCCTTCAGTCTCCATCACCATGCCTGGCTCACTCCTTCTCCTCCTCCTCCCCGCTCCTCCTTTGAGCCCATGCCCCAGCTGAGGGCAGGTGGGAAAGGGCAGGAAGGGGATGGAGGTGGAGAGGACCACAAGAGGCTGCAGAGGCGGTGGCTTGGGCTGCAGGCTCAGATGGAGAGATGCAACTCCTGCTCCCTTTCCTCCGGCAGCGGCTCACTTAGCTGGATGTAGTTGTCCTCGATGAAGCCGTCGTCATCCTCAGCTTGCAGGTCAGCAGCACCAGGCATGGGGTGGCTCTCACCACTGCCCTCCTCCATGGGGCAGCCTCCAATCGAGCCGGTGTCGGGCAGGGGCCGGTGGCGGTAGCTGGCGAAGTGCTTGTGGAAGAGCTTGCACTTGGCAGCCAATGCGATCAGGATGGAGATGCCAATTGCTGCCACCACGATGCCCACCAGGTACGGCCAGCTCCTTCCCCCCTTCCCAGAGGGCAGTGTGGTTGCTGTGGTGCAGGAAAGGCATGTCAGGGTGTGGTGGGTCAGCCATTCAGCAGACCCAGCACCTCTCAGCAGCCAGCCCATCCATGCCTGTGGCATGTAGCCAGCACTAGATGGCTTTCATTAGGAGCGACAGAAATGCTCTTCACTAAGGAGTAGTAGCTACCAGGTGTGTGAACTCTGGGGGAAATGGCCAGACAGCTCTGATACTGCTGCCCATCACTGTGGAGTCTGTGTTCTGGCATCTGCTATCTGTTCCAAAGCCAGCAAACACCTCCAGGTGGTGGCCACCCTCCCAATCCAGCCACTGCATCAGCACTGTCTGGGCAGCCCGAGCCCCTGGGACCGTGGGGCAGAGGAGGGTGTATTTGCTTGCAGCCCCCTCTGGGGTGGGAGAAGGCAGGAGGAAGCTAGACCTTAAGGACATCCCTGTAGCTGCAAAACTTACTGTTGCTCTGGGCCACTGTGATCTGCTGCACTGTGCTCACCTCCCGAGGAAACCGCTGCTTCATCTGGCAGGCCAGGTCCTGGGAATCCAGAGCTGCGATCGCCTGGCCCTGCAGCCCTGGGGGAGATGCGCAGGTCACCTGCACAGCTGGGAGACACAAGGGCTAAGGTGAGACTGGGGATCTTTGCCAATTCTCTCCACAGTTTAGAGGTGCTCCCTGCTTGGTCCTGGGTTGGTAGGATGCATCACAAGGTGCTCCTGGCTTTGCCCTCCAGCCTTGCCAGTCCTCAGCATATTGAAAAGCACAAGCAAAGAAGAATTCCCTGACCAGGGAACTGTGCAAGTGTGTGACCATGATTAGGAGGCTCCTTTTAATTGGCTAATGCCAAATTCATGGACACTGATAGAACCTCCACTGTCACAGGGCTGCTCTTGCCTGGGGGCACAGCTCAGAGGGTTGGAGCCTAACCCTGCTCCACAGGAGGATTTGCCAAGTGCTCAGCAGCTCTTCAAAGTATCACCCCTACATGTAGATACATAAAGTTGGATTTATGTATTTCCCAGAAGAGTGTCTAAATTATCCAGTCTGGTGTTTCTGTAAATCCTTAGTATCCTGTGTAACTGCAAGCAAGAAACTGACACATTTTGGTTCTGTGTCCTCAACAGGGTGGGAGAGGTCCCTCGAGCACCATTCAGAACCTGCCCAGGGGTTGGAGCAGGAGAACTGAGCGTGACCCCTTGACCCAGGGTTCCTCCTGCCCGACACCTTTACTGTCACCAACCCTCACCTGCTCACCTTGCCTGCGCTGTAGCCACTGCTGCAGAGGGTGCACGATGCAGTTGCAGACCCAGGGGTTCCCTTCCAGCCAGACCTGTGGGACAGCCTCCATCACCTGCAGGCTCAAAGTATCCACAGAGACCAGTGCATTGTGCTGCAGGTCCAGGTGGAAAAGAGCCTTCAGCGGCAGGAAGAAAGAGGCCTCAAGCTCTTGCAGATTGTTATTTCTTAGGAGCAGTGTGCGCAAGTTTCCCAAGCCCTTGAAAGCATCAGTGTGGAGGTAGGTGATGCTGCAGCTGCTCAGGTCCAGCAGGCGCAGTGCCCCGAGGTTGGAGAAGACTGCTGGGCTCAGTGTCAGCAGAGCATTGCTGGAGAGGTTGAGGGAGCGCAGAGAAGGGAAATGCATCAAGAGGGTCCCGTGATGGGGCAAGACCAACAAGTTGAAGGAGAGGTCCAAACCAGTGATATTTCCTGGAAGGGAACTCGGAGCATGCAGAAGGCTCTTCCCATTGCAGTCAGCCCATCCCTGGGAAAAGAGATGCTGTCTAAGACGGGCTGTCTGTGCTGGGGAGGATCTCTAGACTGAGACTCTCCAGAAGTTCAAATGTCTTAATGAATTACTGTTGCAGAGTTTAAACAAAAAAACAAACAAACAAACAAAAAAAACAGCTGTAAAAAACAAACAAACACATGGGCTTCCAGTTTGGTGTGGGCCAGGATAAATGGAGAAAGGTGAGCAGGACAGCCCAGGACTGAAAGCAGCCAACCTGAAGAAGTAAAGGAGGAGCATGGAGAGCTGGGGGAAAGGCGGGATGGGTATGAAGGAACCAGGAATTTAACAGCATGGATGGGCACCCTGCTCATTGCAGTGTTTGGGCCCTGCAGGCAGAGATGCTGTGCTGAAAATTCACTGCGGTCTGTAGTCCCAGGTTTCCAGGTCTGGCTGCTTTCCAGCTAGCTGCCCTTTCTGTTTCTTTGCCTCTCGCGTGCTTTCATCCAGTTCCTCCACCCCTCCAGGGCCTGTTCCTCTTGTCAGTCCCTGCTGTTCCTGCTCACTTGAGAAATGGCTGTGCTCTTACAAACCTGGGCTGTTGAGGACTGGGTGAGCCACAGAGGCAGCACACAAGTCCTGTCTCAAGCTCAGGGACGCTGGGGAAAACAGTGCAAATGTTTTGAGGGAGTATCTGAGAGCTTGGTGGGCAGCACTGTGCTTTGCCATCTGCCCGTGAAAGCCACTTTTCCTGCTTCCTCCCAGGAAGGAGGGAGGAAGCCTGGCAGAGCCAAGGCACTGGCTGCAACACTTGTCCCTGTGGGATAATTTATTGTATTTCCTGATCCTTGCCAGGTGCTCTGTGATCCTGACCCCACGGTCGGCCTGGCCTGGCTTGGTCAGTGCATCAAAGTATGTGAGTGCAGAGTGAAGGGCTGGGAGCCCCTGGGGACTGCTCCTCACTGCTGCTCTTTGCGCAGTACCCCTTATGCTGGCCACAGCCAAGAGACCCCCCCAGAGTGAGAAACACGTCGGTTTTCATGTTTCAGGCTGTGCAGAGCAAAAGCTGCCCAGCACATGGTGCTGTGACCCCAGCTGTGCTGGCAGGGCCGGGAGTGGGGTGGCCCTGCCCACTGCCCGCACCAGACCCCAACTCCCCCCTACCTGGCTGTCGAGGCTGCAGGGATGTCCCATCACCACGGAGCA